TTTCCTGTGGGGAAAGCTTTTGTGGGTCATTTCTTCAGTGAGCTGAACTATGAATCTGATTTCAGTCAGTAGACTGTGCTGAATTTCTTTCTTGAACAGGCCTTGTCAGTCAATAACATGTCTGCACATAGTTTTGATTTGTACCAGTGGAATTTCTGACGACTGTTTGTTTTGATATTACTAACTGATATACATTTGTATTTTTTAGCAGACACTCCAGCAGAGATGCTCTTAATGTTCCTGAGTGATCAGAAAATTTTGCTCAAGGAATCCTGAAACATAAATTGTCACTATTAATATATGTCAGATTTGTCATTAGTACTTCCTGTTTCTAAAACTGTGCAATGACTTTTGACCCAACCCAATATACGAAACCACATGCATTCCCAAAGTAGGCAGCACGTATAGCAATTTCCTCATCCAGCTGGTAGCAAGTTTGCAACATGTGTAGCCTGCAGTGATAGGAGTTGGCAAGAAATCGATGTTTAGAGTAGCAATAAATATTGCTAATGAAACAAACTTTATGAAATTGGCTCCAAAACCAGCTAAATGATGCATGTGAACATGTGAAATTTATACCACTACTATTTTCTTGAGAAGAAACTGACATCAGCAATGACTTTCAGATTCTTATTTCATTTGGTCTTCTCTTCTCCAGTCTAACCCCTCTAAGAGTCCAAGGATCATGTGGCAATTAATTGAAAACATTTTTTTCTCAAAGAGAAATAATAATAAAGGGTTTCATCATCCAACTTCTGTTAAAAATCAATGGCAAAACTCCCTTTTGAATTTTAAGAAGAAAATGATCAGATCCAATGTCTGTAGCTACCGACTACCATAAGGATTAATCTTAGCAGTTTGGAAGAATTTCCCCTAAAGCAGGAAAAGCCATCAAAAAGGCAATGTGTGAGGCACCAAAAGAAAAAAAAAAAAAAGGAATCGTTGAAGAGAAACCTACATTTTTCTATAATCTCTATAATGAGGATGGATTTGAAAATAGCAACTCAGTCTGTTGTGTGTAGGCTTGTTGCATATATTTATTACCAAAGATTAGTAAATTACACCTTTTCCTTAGTTTCTCAGCCAGGCTTGCCTGTATATTGAAAAGTTTCTTCTTAGGACTTGGAAAGTCACTTAGCACAGGAGTGATTCTTCTATTGTTTGCTTCCAGTAACACATGATCCTATGGCAGATATTGTTGATACAGAAGTAAGGAAAGAAGCAACATGATGATAAAAAATTACCTTCTCTTAGGTTAGGTTTTGATGTAAAAGATACTAGGGTTACTCATGCTACTCAGCGTGTAAACCTGTTACAATCTGAGTGATATTCACCATGGAAGGGTTTATGCTGGGGACTGATTCTGTATCCCTTACACAAGAACACTAGCCAGCACTCTCCAGATCCGTAATTTAAAAGCCTTGATCTGTGCTTTTAGTCACAATTTGGAAGCCAGAGTTAGAGGGACAGCGTGTGCCATGTCTTTGTTGGGGTTGGGTTCTGTTCAGGCCCTGTGCGCAGAGGAACAGCTTCTGTGAAAAGTGGACTTCTGAGAAGCACTGTGGTCTGAGAGACGTCCCTTGGTGCTGTTTGTCTTCTCGAGTTTTCATCTTAGGGCCCAGCCAGCCTAAGCCTGGATGAGATGTTGCAGATGTTGCATCAGGTGTTGAGAACCTCATGGGCTGGCTCTGAGGTCTCTGCCTCTTTCCTGCTTAAGTCAGACAGTAAAGGTGGTTTGTCCTGAGCACCAATAGAATGTGGTTTGGGTATTTTTCCTCTCATCAGAAATAGTCTGTGTCACTGACAGCACATCTAGTCTCCTACTTTGATGCACCAGGAGAAGGCGTTATTTCCCATGTCCTTGACTTCCCCTTAGACACAACTTTCAATTGTTTTGTTTGCTGGCTTGTGCCATGAGGCTGGGTGATGTTCATCTCTACTGTCTCCAGGCTGGCCTATCAGGCAAGTAGAAAAGCTATGAAAGAGGCTGGATGTCCAGAGGTCCAACTCCTGGCACAGGTCTCTTTAGCCCTTTGCCTCAAAGCGCAGGAGGATAATCACCCAAGTCAGGTAGGGCTCTTACGTGGGGTCTTAGGGTTGTACGTGAACACTAAGAGAGCTTTGTATGGAGACCTTGTGGCATAAGTGTGAATGTAAAAAGGGTATTCCGGGGTTGCCATCAAGTCCTCCAGCCAAAATTAGGATGTCTCAGCATCAGCTGTCCTTGATGGAACCGTCTTTGTGAGTGCCCTAAGAGTACTGTAAATGTTTCCACTGTGACTGGACAGGCATGCACAGAACTCCAGGGTGCTGTGACTGGATTGTTTTTGGGACCTGAACTGTACAGCAGGGATTCTTCTCTTTTTAATCCATGAAGCTTTGTTGACATATTTGTTTCTACAAATATTGACCGAACTGAACAGCTACCTTTAAATTGCTGAGGCTGTTCACAGACTGCTTGTTTTGAATGATTGTTTGCTAGTTTACTACACAAGACCATCTAAATTATGGCGTGCTTGATTTTGTTTTCAGTTTTTTTGCCTGCTTTTTGCATCATTCACACTTTCATAAAAAGGAGGCTAGAATACTGAAGAGATTTCAAGATGGCCACACAAACACTTCTGCTGTAGAGTTTTCTATGAAGACATATTTAGACAATTGTCCAGAAGTCCTTTGCATACCTTGAACATTCTTTCATGAACTTGAAAAAAAATTAAACTGCATTTTCCCAGGCAATGAATAAAGGGGCTGCAAACAACATCAAAGCAAATGCGTGTGTGGTTTATACTTCAAGCATTGCAAATACTTTTTTTTTTTTTTTTAACAGAATCCTCCCAGTTCTATTCCTGCTAAATTCACTTAAACCCAAATAAGGCGTATTTTGGTGCTCTGTATTTTTCTAAGCATTTCACAGTTTTTTGGGACACGACTCTTAACATCTGTTTTTATTACTTGTTAATTCCTTTTCCTGACTCTTAACATAAAATATTCAGGAAAGTATGATTTCAAGGATAGCCTGTTTGTGTGCTTTGAAAGAGCTCCATCTTAGTGTATGTTAGGATATACTCTTTATCTCAAAGCAAAACAATGAGAATGAAAATCAAAAGGCCATATATATAATACAGAGATAATACTTTACTGTGCAAATATTTTGTCACTGAGAAGAGAAAAGCAGGAATGTCAGTGAGAAGACTTGTGATCTGCACACAAAAAAAGACACATGCAAGAGAAGATCCTGGCGAAATCTGTTTTATCAGTTAGTTGTAGTCTGTGACAACAGTGCCTAAGGAAATGATTTTAAAGTAAACATTTGTGCTATGTAAACCCTTGATTTTCACAAAAAGTGAAACAGATTCCTCCCATAGTGGAGAGAGAACTTATACAGGGATTTGCCAAAAAAGAAGCCACAATAAATAGGGCCTCATACACACCAACCCTTTTTCTATACTACTATTTATTTAATTCTGAAGTGTAAATCACAGATAGATTTATTAGTTTAATCTTACTGGGATTACTGCCTTTGCATTTGAGCAGCATGCTTTTGGTCTCTTTCCTCTTCTTCTACTCCTCATCAGTTTTCTGGGGTAATAAACCTCTTTCACTTCCCTGAAGTATTACTTTAAAATAATGCAGCATTTTTACAAGAAAATGATCCATTCTCACGAGTAACATTCACCACTGATGCCTCCTGCTTTCTATGGAAGACACAGCCTTTTACGCAATTTGTTAATTCTTCAGCACCTTGGAGGAAAAAAAAAAAAAAAATCAACCCTTTTCAGACTCTAATTGTACCCAAACGAGATTTACCTAGATGAGGTAGATCCTGAAGTGCCACTGAAAGAAGGGGGAATTAAGAATACTCTGCCCACCCAAAAACTGAAGAAGCTTGCTTGGAGGGACTTGGTTTCTGCTACATTATTCCAAGCATCTCTAGAGCACTGAGACTTGTCAGAAAAACACAACTGTGTCAGCATTGTGCTTTTGCGGGGTGACATTGGTTCCTTAGCTGCTTAGAAGACAATTTGTTCGCATAAAGACAGGTCACCCTGTGCCCTAGAAAAGAGGCATAATTCACTCAGAAAATGATGTAGTCTTTCTGTTTATATCATTATACTATGGGTGCTGAGCTGAAGTCTGTCATGCTAGTGGTCTAGTACTGGGAAGAAGATGATGCAAAATGTGCCATCCACTTCAGAATGAGAGGGTTTTCTTTGGTTATTTGGTTGGTTGGTTGATTTTTTTCCCCTGTGGAAGAAGCCAGGCTTATTAGTTCTGTATTTGTTCTAGCAAGCATGGAGAACTCGGGACGTCAGTGCTTCATTGCAATACTACTCGTTCTTTAGGACCAGTGGACTAGTGCTTTCTTTCTCCCAAACTACTTTACACAAATTGCAAACCCAGAAAAAAAAAAAAAAAATAACAAGAGCATTCTCCTTTGCCAGGTAGGACTTGAAAGGGGAAGATTTCCAACTTTGGAGGATATCAGTGACCTAAGGAGGGATGAAAATACTATATGACACCATAGGCTCATGCATCCGCAAAGATACTTATTCTGTCCCTGCTCTTGAGAGATTACCACCATGTTTTCCAAAGGAAGCTGGGAAGAAACAGCGACACCTTGTAGATTTTCTCCTCTTGCTTGCTTGTGTATCATTTTCCTTACAGGCAAAAGAACAGGGAAGAACAGCACAGTCTTAATCAGTTAATTATATATAAATGCAGAAGAATACACTCCAAGTCCTTTGTCCTTTATTAAATTTATTAATTATTTTGGCTTGTGCTTGTGCTAGAGACCAGAAGCATTGTTAGAAACATTCATAAAGCACAGTAACTTTCTCTCTTTCATAGTCTTGCTTTGTGATACTTATTACTGGGACCAAATTGTGAAGTGGAGTTTTATGGGTTTTGTAATGCACAAAGCTCAACAATGATTTGCTGTCAGCTACATTTACCAGCTCCTTTCAGCAGATATTTAAAACCATTGCATATTTCTCTTTCAGTTATCCAGTTTGGCTTTGTCACACTCTTTGTTGCCTCCTTCCCTCTGGCACCTCTCTTTGCTCTTCTGAACAACATCATAGAAGTCCGGCTTGATGCAAAAAAGTTTGTCACTGAACTGAGGAGGCCAGACACAGTAAGAGCAAAAGATATAGGTAAGCAATGAAAAAACATGACAGTGAAGATAACGCCAAAAATTCCATAAGAAGGAAGAAAAGTGATAGTTAATCCCTTAATAAGTTCTGTTTTTCACTTACAGGAATTTGGTATAACATTTTGAGTGGTATTGGAAAGCTTTCAGTTATCATTAATGTAAGTATTTGATTACACCAGTTTCTAACCATGATCTTGGGAGCTTATATTGTGCCTCCAGCATAATTTAAATGTGAAGTCTGATTTTATCAATTGCTATAAAATACAATAAAATCTAAATTATCCAGTTCATTCTGGAAGTGTAAAACATGATTTAATTACAAATGAGATGACCATTCACTCTTCTCATTCTCTCTATCCTTGTGTTATATAGGACAGGAAGACTAATTCATATAAGAACAACTAATGAAGGGGATGTAAGCAGGCAATACCCCAGATAATTGATAAAGATCTACTTCTCATTCATACTTGTGCCTTTTTCTGTTACTCTGCTAGTATAACTGTTGGTATGAATAAAAAGGATGTAAATATAAAGTCCTGGATTCTAGGAGCAGAAAGTCCTTAACTAGATAGCATTAGCATTTGTTTTGTTATATACAGGTATGTTTATATCCCTAAACATAATTTCTCCTACAGAGTGAGCATTTCTGTAAGAGTAGCTTTTTTTTTTTTTTTTTTGAGTTAGGTTACATGCTCCCCAAGCTACAAAATCTTAATGGAAAAATATATTCTTTCATAGAACAAGAATGATTACAAGAACATAATGCATGTCTGGTATACAGATATATTATGTTTGTTGTTCACATGTATTTCTTAAGTAAAAATTTCCTGTATATGCTTTAAGACAAAAAAGACTCATGCCCTGAGAGTTTAATTATAATACTACTATCTAGTGGGGTTTTGACCCACAGGTTATAGAATCATTGAATCATTTAGTTTGGAAAAGACCTTTAGGATTATCGAGTCCAGCTGTAAAATATCAAAGATATCAAAGCACTTTAGAAAGGCAGATGATTGTCACTACTGAAGGGGAAACTTGTGCAGAGGGGTTATGCAATTTATCTAGTACAATAGCTTCCAGCACAACAGCACTCCATAGCAGTATGTAAGCTATCATTACAACTGGGAGAACTATAATGCCTCCAGAGAAGCAGTGTTGTTTGACTTGGGTGGAGCATTGTTCACTTATGGCTCAGCAGTTTCCAGGATTTAAGGTAGGAAATCATTGCAGCCCTGCACATACCCATAATTTTGCTGTCAGGCCTAGATTTCAGGTTTCCAGTACTGATCTGTGCTGGAGGAGCAAAACTCTGCAGCCTCTCAGTTTTATCAGAATACACTTTGCAGATTTATGAGCCTTGACTATTTTCTGTGTCAGACAAACTCTGAACATTTTTATTACCTGGGGATTCCATTAAAATATCAGTTAGCTACTTTTTCTTGACAGAAGTGTAAATATGGGCATACCCAATTTAAAAAAAAATACTGAATGCCCAGTTCTACTTCTCCATCTGAATAATATTGCTGCAGAAGACCTATTTAGCAAAATGTAGTTTTAATTGAATCTAATTAATTCTCCTTGATATGATCTAGATATTTCTGTATCTGATTCACTTCACAATTATACCAGTTTTATACCAGCATGAGGTCCATCGATGTCAGATGTGTAAATCCTGATGCACAGGGGAAAATGGAGGAGGACTACCTTACACTCAACGGGTTTATCTCAGATAACGCTGTGTAACTACACCAAATTATACTCCATGTTATACCAGCAAGCTATTATGTCTTGTAGTTTTTTAAAACTAGTGATAAACCTCCTAATGGCTCGAGGGTTGGAAAGAGCTGAAGAAATGTACAGTACATTAATTGCTTTTACTAGTCTATGCTCTAAGAAATATTCCACTTCCCTAGCTACAGCCTTCCCCTAGAGAGACAGAGCAGGTTACTGTGCATTTATAGAAGTATACATTCTGTAACAGGTCTGGCCATTTGACTTTCACTTCATCACCACTGTAGACTTCCTTAAACGTGAAAATTATCACCTGAATTAACTTAATATCTGAAACACATTAGACATAGATTCACGACGCTGTTGTTTGGTTGGGTTTTTTTCCTCTCTCAGGCTTTTGTAATTGCTGTCACATCTGATTTCATTCCACGCCTTATGTATCAATATGCATACAGTCAAAATGGAACCATGCATGGCTTCATCAATCACACGCTCTCATACTTCAATGTCAGTCATCTCAAGGCTGGAACACAGCCAGAAAACTCCCCGTTTGCACAGGATGTTTTATTCTGCAGGTAAAGTACTTCTAATGACAGTTTGCCTAGTCAACGTAATTTCTTTGGGTCTTTTGTCAGACAAAATTTTTCCAAGTGGGGACTGATAATATCTGCGCCTTTAAAAAGACGGTTTTAAGAGTACAGCTTTTAGAGTATCCTCACTGTATTAGAAGGTTCATAAAAGGTTTTTTTTCCAGTGCATTAAAAGGCAAAATAAACAATTTAGGCAGACTTAACTCACATTAAAAAATCCTTTCTTTATTGAAAGACATAACCTTCATTAAAAACAATGAGGTTTTAAAATGGACACCCACTAATTAGAACCAGGCTTTCTTTTTCTTTGTTAAGTTCAGTGTTTACTTGATGAGATCTGAGTTTTCAGTAAATTCTGCCCATCTTTAAAACCTGCACCACTCCTTGTCTGCATGTCTTATATTTCAGATTCATCTTTTCACACTGGGGAAACAAGGCTTGACGTCTTTAAAATTTGTCCAAAATGTCTGGTCCACTGCTCCTGTAGTGCAGATACCTATGGAGTAGTTCTAGTTTGCATGAGAAATCACTAACATGGTTCCAGGGCTCTCAAAGCAACCTTGCTTTTTTATAAAAATATGCAGAAATTTAAAGAGCTGTTTTAAGGCAGTACAACCCAAGGCTGTTCAAAGCTGAGCTCCTCGGGTCAGTACTACATTCAACAGCCTGCCACACCTTCCTTTAGGACTCCCTTGAAATCACACTGTGCTTAACATCTGCAATGGCAAGAAATCATCACAAAACTCGCTCTTCCATTTTCCTTGGGAGGAGAGCCTTCATTTATATGGTTTTTACTACATACAGGTCTTTAATTGGCCTCCCTTATTTTGATGCATAATATATTTGCATATGTTCGCTATCTTTTTCTGATGCATGGCAAGGTTTTTGAATCTAGTACTCCTGATTGATAGTTGCCATCTGAACCTGTCCTGGTTTTAAAACTAGTTTCACCTCTGTCTTTCCCAGTCTCCTTTCTCAAACTCAGGTCTTCACTCTCATGCTTTCATTGTGTGGTTTTACTCTGAGAACAAATTTTGGCTAAATTGCCAAGGTGGGGTTCTCAGAATCTTATCACCATATTCTCTCTGCACCCGTGTCAAAGGAAGAGCACAAAATCAGTTACCAAGCATAGCAGAACGATGATACAAATCTTACAGGGGACATTCACATACCATGTAGCATCAGATTGGCCTCTACTTGCAATACTGGTTTATTGAATACTCAGATACTGGCAGAAAATACTGCTAGTGTTGAAGATATTGTAAATATCAACATGTATTTTCTACTTAGAGCTTCAGAATTCTTCCTTCTTTCCTTCCATTCACTTGAATTCATTGCACTTGATAAATCTGTATTCAAAATACAGATAGAATTCTTATTAGTTCCAATGACCCCTACATTTCTGCATATCTGACATTCAGAGTTTCTTAAAGAAGTTGTATTTACAAAATAGAGATAGCTAAGGCAGCTGGAAAATTTTTATAGTGTTACCGTTAAGTTATGATTATTAGTCTTTTCTTTAAATCTGTGAGAACAGCTCTGAGCGTGACATAGAAGGCTTGTAACTAAAGCTAGTTAGGATGCACATTTTTGTGCTACCAAAATCTTTGTCTTCACATTAAAGTTGAGGAGAGAAAATATTTCAAATAAATCAACCATTTGGTTAAAACAAAACAAAACAAAATTCAATTAATTGTAAATATCTGCTGATTCTACCCTTCTAAAAAGAAATTCGTTTAGAAACAAGCAGCCACTTAAAAGCAAAGAGAGAAATTAACTTTGTGATTATGCTTCTAACAGGTGCTGTAAACTGCCCTTCAGAATGGTTCACTTCTTTTCACTGTTTATTTAAAGGATCATATTCTAGCTAAGTTCCTGAAGTAGCCAAAAACCTCCCCTTGCTTCTAAATGACTGCGAATTTCTAAATGTAGACTACATACCTATCTTCCATGAAATTGTTGGTTGCTTTTTTTTTCCATCCTGATTTTATTAGGGAATAAGAGGGTTTGCTCAAATAGCTTCAGAAGGGGTAGATGGAAGTTCTTCAGTGAGTCCTACAAATCAATACCCATCTTAGAGAATATATTAAATATCCTAATGTAATAATTTTCAAGAAAGAAGTCTTAAAGTTGGCATTATTCAGTGTAGTTTGTGCATGTTTATCTCCTGCTCCTGCACAAGCAAACTTTAATCATACTTGGGATCCCACTGATTTTAAGCAGGGTATTTATCTTACCCAACTACAACCCACAAAAAATTATGTATCTCAGTTCCTTCACTGGAAGCAGAGTAAATGCGGAGAGAAATCTGGCCTTCTAACTCAGGCACTGCCCTTGGGATTGCCTTTGGGACGTACCTACCTTCTTACCATGACTACAACAGAGGCTAGATGAGTGCACAGATAAGACTCCTAACTTTTAAGCAGGTAAAGAAAGAGCATATGACTCAGCACAGCCATGTCTCGGTGTCAGGAACTTTGTTAAAGGAATCTCTGCGGCCCCTTGGGAGGCGATCAGATGAGACTTGAGGGCAGACAGAAGGGAAAAAATAGGTCTCCAGTGCTTAAAGCTGCATGCTGTGCTCTACCTGCTGCTTTGCTTGTGGCAGACAGGGTAAAGCACCTTAAACCTGGGGCCTGTCCTCTGTCTTTTCTCAAAATGTTGTTCCCTGTGAGCTCTGCTATTGCCCATTTCAGTATGTTGCTAGGCGTTATTTCTTAGAATAATGTTACATGTAAGAATATGCAGCATCTCTGTACTTTCTGATAGACTTGTAAGTCTGTGCCCTGGTTTCAGCTGGGATAAAGTCACTTTTCTTCCTAGTAGCTGGTACAGTGCCCTGTTTTGGATTTAGTGTGAGAACAATGTTGATAACACACTGATGTTTTAGTTGTTGCTACGTGGTGCTTATCCTAAGTTAAGGATTTTTCATTTTCCCATCTCTGGCAGCAAGCAGGTGCACAAGAAGCCGGGGGGGAGCATGGCCAGGACAGCTGACCTGAACTAGCCAAAGGGATATTCTATACCATAGAATGTCATGCTCAGTATATAAACTGGGGGGAGTTGGCTGGGAGGGGTGGATCGTTGCTCGGGAACTGACTGAGCATTGGTCAGCAGGTGGTGAGCAATTGCCTTGTGTATCACTTGTCTTTTTTTGGGTTATACTTCACTCTCTTTTTGTTACCTTCCTTTTCATTATTATTTCTTCTTATTATTATTTTTTTATTATTATTATTATATTTTCTTTTTTATCTCAATTATTAAACTCTTCTTATCTCAACCCACAAGTTTTACTGGGTTTTGATTTGCCTCCACATCCCACCAGGGAGGGACGGGAGGAGTGAGCGAGTGGCTGCATGGTGCGAGTTTCTGGCTGGGGTTAAACCACAACAGTCTGTGAAATGCTTTTCTGCTCTCAGTTCCTAGCACTTTTTAATTTGTATCCCTAAATTAGCTTGTGTTTTCCTTCAACAAGCATCTCGATCCTTATGGATCTTCTACTCCACTGTGACTTTGCTACTGTCACTTTGCTATTTACCTGGTCTTAGTCACTGGCCTCTATTTATGGTGTCCGACTGCCAGTGTATTTGTAAATGTGTGGATTAACAACAGTGATGAAATGCACTCCTCAGATTAGCATGGATTCAACAGAGCCAAAATACAGGGAGAAGGGAATAATCCACACTAGGTATAAAAGTGATCCCTGCCTGATAACATCAAGTCCATGCCACTGAGAAAAAAAAAAAAGATATGTATTGCAAACAAGAAGCATATACTAAATGTTTGACCATGTACCAGTCTGAATGAGAAACAACTATGAGAGCATTTCTGTTCCATTATCAGGAAACAATTAGGAAAAGATGTCAGCAACCACATTCACTGTTTCTCATTATCACCCGCCTCATTTGAATGTTATCAAAATCTCAGCTTTGGACAGAACTATCACTGTGATAAAATATGGGGTATCTAGCTTGTGTCCCAAGAGACAGGCAACAAACACTGTCCCTTAAGCTGGAAATAAAATCTGTTTTTCTGTTTCTGGCAAATATGTTGGGAACAAGCTGACCTCTCTTATTCTTAGATTTCTGTGACCTCCGGAGATAAATGTGGTTACAATAAGCCTGCATTTTGCTCCTTACGGGCATTGCCAGAGATTAAGGTATCTTAAAAATAACCATAACAAGCCAGAAACAACTCTCCCACCGAACACCCAGAATACATTCTTTGAATATTTTGAGCAGCATTTTCTACAATGCTGTGAACTCTTTGACACTGCTTCCAAATAAACATTGCTGTAACGCCATTCTGACGCATAGTATTAGCTGTAATGATTTTTTTTCAGAGCAAAACGCCATTTGTGTAGCTGAAGGCAAATTAAAAGCAAACCTGCTAAGTTATGTGACATTTTTATTGGTTTAGCCCTTTTAATATTTATAAGCTGGTATCATAATGGAGTACATGAAAGCACGCTGATCACACTGAAAAGACAAAAGCAGCAGATACAGAGTCATTAAAGGGACTTTTCCGTTAAGACAGGTCTGTTCCACTATTCAGAAAATTTATAAATTGTCTTTGAATTAATTAATTTTCTTAATGCCCTGGGATTCAGCTCATCGACTCCCAGTGATCAGTGGTGGATTCTAACGTTTTCCCCTGAACAATTCTTGCACAGTCCTGCATTGCTGAAGCACTCCTTCCTTGTGACTCAGTCATGTTTTTTTCAATTTCTTGTCAAATACCAGATGTGAAAGGAAATTAAATGAATCAGTTTATTTAGACTGATTTGCAGTTCCACCTACATACACATCTTGATTTTTTCTACCAGTCCTTCTTTTTCCCCATGCAAAATACTTGTGAAATATGCTAGCATATTTCTCTTAGTTCTGGTTTCAGTTCAGTTTTGTCTAGGTCTTGCCCGGTCATCTCCATCCATCCTCACTTCCCCAACATTTCTCTACTTTCAGTGTGCATTTTTCTTTTTTCCCTCAGAACTTTTCTTTGCCCTATTCTTAAACCTCACTGGCTACTTCATATTCTTGTCCTTTTCCAGCAGAGTTAGAGTTGTTTACCATTTTGAAACACAATAGTCTTTGCAGCACCGGTTGTTTGCTGTTCCTAGCATACCTGCTGAATCAAATATTTTAAGAATGAAGAATTGAAGAGGTGAGGGAAAAGATGGTCTTTTTTTAAAAAGAAACTACCTGTAGAATATAGTGGTTAGAAAAGGCCCGGGTTATTGCACTTTGAAGTTCCATGTGCCATAGAATAATTAAAAAGGGAGGTGGGGAGGAGGCCCAGCTTCCTTGTCTGTAGCTCTGACAACATCTCCCTTCACCATAAATCATTCGCTAGCGTTCTGTTGAACGTAGATTCAGGCATCATAAGCAGTGTGATTTCCAGCAGAGCCAGGTGAAATTTCCACAGGGTCTGATGTCCTGCAACACTTACATAGTTTGTGAAGCTCAGAGTACATCATTAAATGGAAAACCCACCACAGTCGGTGACCCTTCCAGGTGAACCTGGGCTCCGTTTCAAGACTGGGATTGATTTATAGCGCGAGGCAAAATCCACAACAAACTCAGTCGTTTTCCTTGGCTTTGATGTTCAAGCAGATTAAATTCAAGGGAACTGACTCTGGCCCTCGTACACAGATTTGAGCAACACGCAGGAGTCCACGTTGTACAGAAAGGGGGAATGGCCCAGTGCAGGCACAGCATAGGACCAAACAGGGATCCTGTGTAAGACAGGACAGAGAGCTCGACTGCTGGGCATGCACCACTGAACAAAACAAATAATCCAAGGTCTAACACAGCCCAGATAGTGCTTCCGTAAATTAATACAGCCCCCAAATTAAAGTTGTTTTCTCCTCCTCTTCCTCCTCCCTCTCTCCATTGCGGGTTGTACGGTGTGTCCTTCGTCTCCAGAAGGTGCAGCACAGAATTATATTCAGCATTTCAGACTGAATTTCTTCAGGGGGGAGGGGGGGAGGGGGAAGAGGGGCGGGATGTAGTGGGGGGGTGGATTGTAAATGTATAATTTAACGTGCAAAACCATATGGATAGAACCTGAAGGTAATTTTGGTAAGCGCACCTGCAAACTGAAGCTGACAGATTTTATATATGAACATTCTCCATTATCCCCTGATGGAGGCTTTTCCACAGTCTAATGAATCTTACTGTCAGGAAGGGTTTTGTGGTATTCAAAACAGATTTTCCCTTTCTTAATTTCATCCCATTACTCCCAGTCAAACACTGTGAACAGCACTAAATTATCCCTTTCAGTCCTAAGGGCACAATTTGTGCATGGTTATCATGTCCAACTGTGGCTGTTGCTTACCAAAGTGGAGCAATACATGTGCTCTTCTTTAATCTTTTCTGGTGAGTCAGTCTCCTCAGCCCCTGGATCGTTTTGCTGAACTGCCTTCAATTTATTGCTATCTTTTCTTTTTTGTTTTTTTTCGTTTTTTTTCCCTTTTTTTCCTTCTGAAATCCCCACAGCTGAATGGCTGAATGCAGCATTCCAGGTGTGGCTTTACCTGAGCTGTTCAGAGAAGAGCTAATACCCCCCCAGCACCATCGTGCCTTTTGTTTGTACATCCACAACTCATACTGCCCTGCTGCCTTATTTCAGACTTGTGCTAACTTGCTGGCCACTGTAAGCTCCAGGCTATTTTCATTGCACTTTCTTTCAAGCGCTGTCCTTTTAAAGATCCTTCAATTGTTTTATTTTTAATTATTTTCCATTTCCCCAGATTATTCTCATTGTGTTTCCTGTCTGTATTTCTTATTGCTTTCTGTGTTTCCTGCTATTTGCAAAACTTTCCAATTTAGGAGCATCTGTGACTTTTATTAGCCTGTTGTTTGCTTCCAAATGATTGATGATAATACTAAAAGCATCAGTCTTTACACCAAACCACTAAGGCTCTGTTTTATCCTGTCTAAGGCTAGACAGTTAATTTAGGAAGTGCCTTTCCCATGGCTCCCTCTGTCGTTAATGCAAAGACAGGAACCACCAAAGTGTGAGTCAGATTTTACGTGGCCTGAATTATTCCCTAAATTAATCAAAGTTTAGGTGAGATGAATGCAGGCTTGTCTCCTTTAGCCTGAAAATGCCTTGGACTATCTCTATGCTTTAATTTCAACACTTCATTCCCTGTACTCTGAGATCAATTTAACATTAACAAAAAAAAGGGGACATTTGTAAATCCTGGAAAATCTGGAAATTTCCAACATTAGAACAACGTTCTGATTTCGGTTACAACTGTGAAAACCAGACTAAGCTTGTTAAATTCAGTGGAGATAGTCCAGCTCTAATTCTGGAGTTGTATTTCATAATAAGGGTTGAAGTAGGAACATCTGGAGGATTTGACTCTTTAGGTTTTGTGATTGGAAAATCATGTTAATCAAAGCAATTGCTGGAGGAGGAGATTGCTGGAACTGTGTGATAACTGAGCTGTCTCCATCGACAGGTTCAAAGACTACAGAGAACCACCTTGGTCCCAAAATCAGTATGAGTTTTCTAAACAGTACTGGGCTGTCTTATCTGCTCGCTTGGCTTTCGTTATTCTATTTCAGGTAAGTCTGTTGAGTTGCGGCAATTTCAGTCACAGAAATATCATAATAGATGGATTGAAATGCATGGGCCAAAGCAGCTCATGGCCAATAAAGCTTTTCTGTTTGCAAATACCCAGCTCGAGGTGCTTGTACCCAGCCTGCTGAGGTGTCGGTGGGCTGCAGCACAGGTTCTCCCTTCGGAGCACTGTGGCTTCCTCTCCCTTGGTGGAAGGGAAGACCCACAGCTTGCATTAGCCCCCGGCATTAGCAGGGACCCCCAAAATACCCCAGGCTCTTGAACATTTCAGTTAAGTGGACTCTGTCAGCTTTTATACTCTCAGGGGCATCACTTGTAAAAAGCACTTAAATGCTCTGTAGGCTTGTTAAATGATGTTCTTTACCCAAAGCAAGAAATAAGCAGAAGTAATAAATCTTCCCAGGTCTTTTGCTACTTTCTACAAGTAAATGGAGTAAATTCTCCCCGGTGGGGAGATTTTATTGGCAAGGGATTTGCTATCATGGCTTCCTTCCCGAATGGCAGAAGCCTTCTGCTCTCCTCCGCGATCTGGGATCCCTCCACGGTCAAACTGGGCCCACCCCTCATATTGAAATCTGCCTGTCTTTTCTCCTCACCTGCCAAATATTCCAAAGTGTGACTGCGAGTCTTGCCTGGTTTATATTGCCCTCTTCTGCTTCTTTGCTCTGTCTTCAGTAATTTTCCACCACAGGCTGCAAAACATTTGAAACCAACTGGTTATGCTGGGCTTCAAATAGCCTGCCTGTTGTTCTGCCAGAGTACATTCCCTGGTTAATTAGCTCCATTGTCTCAGATGGGGATGGAAGGTTCATGCTAGTAGCCTTGTCAGCAAATGTTCTCACACATTTTGAGGCATTACACAACACAGCAGTTTTCAAAGCATTATCATGATAATATAAACCCCAAAGCATAATTTATGCATAAATTTCACAAACAAGCAAAACTTTTTGCTCAGTCTGCGTCCTGCCTCTGTGTTAGGACTCTCACCTGTAATGAATGACCTTGACACTTGAGGTTCAGGGTTGTGGCTTGCATGCTGCCATAGTGTAAAAAAATCCTGTTTGTCAGCAGACAGAAGGATTTGAGGACAAAATGACGATTAAAGTTGTCTGCTCAGGCCACATTGGAAAGACTTGGGTATGATTGTGTTGGAGGATGCTTTCACTGATATTGCTCTTATAGTAATGGATTCTGAACTCAGTCTCAATGAATTTGATGTTGAGAACTGAGCACCTTTGGACGCCTGTAAAGAATAAGGCTGGTTTAGCTACTTAGGCCATGAATCATTTGATGAATCCAAGTCCTTTCCCATTTCAAACCTAACTGAAGCATGTGTTTAATTCAGCCTCTCCACTGAGGGGGGGAAGTTGTGCAGAAACGTGAGCTGTTTCTTGAACTAAGCCCTTACTCAACTGCTTAATGCTACATGCTGTCAGCAAAATGGGTTTGATACCTGCCTCATAGCTATAGCAATGGTTTGGTTTTGCTTTAGCATGGGTATTTTGGATTTTTCGTACTTGCTTCACCCCTGTTGCCATGTTTGCAGAACTTGGTGATGTTCCTCAGTGTTCTGGTTGACTGGATGATTCCTGACATCCCCAAGGGCATCAGTGAACAGATCAAAAAGGAGAAGAGCGTGCTTGTTGACTTCTTCCTGAAGGAGGAGCATGAAAAACTGAAGCTGATTGAAAGCTTTATCGCACGTGACAAGCAGAGACGCAAAAGTGGGACCAAAGGCGAAAGGATCCGGGCTGCCAGCTTCTGTCAGTTTAACCGAAGTCAAAAAAGCAGCTTTGCCTCCTTTAGCTCACAGCACACAGAAGTGTGACTCCTTAGGGAAGGGTAACATACCAGGCTTACCTCTGCAATACCTGCTTACTGTGTGACGTGATTCTGGACCTGGAGCAAAGGAGGGCGAGCCGGTCAAGGAAGAGACAGGGAGCAAAAAGGAGGCATCTTTGGCTTCCTTAGGAACTCCATCTGTAAGGGTCTCTTACATTTTATACGCTCTATCTGGGCTGCAGCATTTTCAGACTTTCTCAGTGCAAGATGAGGGCTCTATTGTAGCTGTAGCTGGTCCTTGCGGTGCTGCATGTGAGTTGGGTGGGCGCGCAGGAATTCTCCTCGCTCATGCAGCCTCCGCGGTAGGACTGCAACCGTCCCTCTTCGTGCAGACAGTGGGGCATGGGGAACAGAAAGGACATTCCTGCTCTAGTATCTTTTTTTTGGCAGATCTGACCGACCGTGGCGGAGTGCGCACAACGCGTGGTCTCACGGCTTGTAGCTGCCAGTGGATGGTTTATAAACTTGGAGTCTCTAGGAGTCATTGTGCCTTCCTGATGTACACTGCCACTCAGTGCTGTCTCTGTAGAGCATGCAGGGCTGTTAAGGGCACAGAGCTGTGGGAACAGAAGGAATGAAAAATCACTGAGCACTTTCATCTACAGATATATTGTGTTTTGCTTAGCAGGAGCTTGAATGCATGTGCTAATGAGCAGAGAGGCCACAACATATGCATCAGAATGAAGTAAAGCTGCTAGAACCAGGGAAGCTCATTGTTATTCATTGTCCTGAACAAAAAAACCCCACCACCCTGTATGTTTGAGTCTCCTCTCACTTAGACTGGGAATTCAGCCAGTATCAAGAGGAATCGCGCCACTAAACCAACACCAGTGCGAAGCTTATGAGTGAGAATGGAATCAAGCTCTGTAAATCATGTGGCATTTTCATGTACCTTGAGTGTAAAGTAACAAAAGTTGCTGCTGATGTGCATTTACTGTAAAATAAAATAATTTGCAGAACCGCATTTCATTGGAAGATAAACATACTCACTAACCAAGCTTTAATCTACAAGCATTTAATGAATAACTTTATTCTGTTATGACTGCAAATAAAACTTTCTTAAAAAATCTGTTACTGTAGATTCTGTCTCTAACCTGACTTCAAATTCAGAGTCTGGATAAAAGATTTTCTTCTTATTCTGTCTTCTCAACAATGCTTTCAAAACCATCAAAAACACAAACCAAAAGAAGTGCTTCAGTTTCAGAGATTGCATACAATAAGAATGCTCTTTAACATTAAAATGGTATTTCATAAATTTCTGAAGCCTAAGAATTTCATTGTTCTCTTAGATGGAAAGATTTTTTTTCTATGAGAACTTTTGGTAATTTAATGAGAGATGTGAAAATAATTAGAGGTTTTTTTCATTCAGTGCCTAAACTAAAGAAAATGAAAATGGGAGAACTGTTTCAGAGTGGGCTGAAATTAAGTTTCATTTTAGAGTTTCATTTTTAAAATTTTATTTAGGGTTATTTACCCCTTCTATATAGCAGATCAAATTTGAAATGATAACGTCAACATGAATAAAATTGCAAATGTTTAACTTTGTTGAAAAAAAAGTCTGACATCTCCTAATGTTTTCTTCTTTTTCCCCTGTCAAAACTAATTTGCTGAATTTTAAATGAATTCAGAGAGAATTCTTCCCCTTTCTGAAACTGTTTTTTTTTAATTAATAACAATTTGCTAGGGTTATTACCCAGATCTCAATTTGATTATATATGCTCAAGACTACAAATACAGCTTGGAAATGTGGAAAAATGTGTAGTATTACAATGTTTCACCCCTTTTTATATACATATTATCTAAACCAAGCTATTTGAAGAGCTCCTGACACAATGTACGGTGTATAAACTATTGACTGTGTATATATTTGGTGTTTCTAATTGATTGAAATAGATAGGAAAATTATAGGAAAATAGTCATCTTCTTAAATACAGTTTAAGCTTTTTCTTAGTATAAATACCTCACGGTCACCTGTGGTTGTGTGAACTACATCCTTGTCAGGCCCAAAAGTCAGGTTATTGCATCTTGGGGAGGCTCAGATGATGGGATTTGTATGACCAAACCCTAGCTATTAAATTTTGGTAGGTTCCTTCTGGAGTCACCTGAGGGAGAAAGGTACCACCAGCCAACTACTCATCCCAGCTCGATACTGCTGTCCGAGATGGGCAGATGAATCACCTCGGAGGACGCTGCAATGCAGTGGGAGTCCTGTTATCTGCCTTTTAGATTGTCTGCTTGGGCTTTAGGTTGCAGAAGACCAGCATCTAATCTGAGTCAGAGTGCTTAAGATGTTTAGACCACTGAAAGAATTAGCGACTGCTAGATTCCCAACTGATCATGTTTGTTTTGTTTTGTTTTGTTTTAATTTTGCTAAGTGCTGGAATGAATATCTTTTTTAGGAATTTGTCTCCCTGCTGGAAATCTGTGACAGGGCTGAGACATAAACCTTGGTTTCCCCCCTCTAAGATTAACATTTAAATGAGGGCACTGTATGTCCTCAAAAACAAATTGTCTCATTTTACTTTCAAAAGACCAAAAAGCCTCGATGGGGATTCCGTGGTCTAGTATATTAAGGCAGTCAATGACATCTATTCCCTCGTTTATACTAGAGGGTATTCTGGTGATGGATTTGGGCGTTTGGAACTGTCTATGTTGTTGTTTGCAACTCTAGTTGATTGAAATGCAATCTATTTTCTTCACTCCAAAATGCCTCTGATGGGGAGAAATGTTATGTTTCTAAACAGTAGAAATAGCAGTCATGCCAGACCTTTAGGTTATCATAATGCTCCTGTTCTTTTTCCAGGTACATGGGAGTGCATGAAGAAATAGGTTTAGAAAGAGGATTTCAAGTTGCATGACATCCTCTTTTCCAGTAGCTTGTTTGATGAAGGATATTCAGAGTTAAGGATCTTCTTAAATAGAACCATTTTTGTACACCCTCCCTCTACCCAGGAAATACCCTCTTGTCTTTTTAAAAACTGTGAGTCACTCAAAAACAGTCAGAAAAATGCTATCCCAAAGTTGAATGCATTAGGCTGTTGTTACACAGAATTTCCATAACAAGCAACTGAAATGCTTGCTATGGTCCAAAAATGATAATGTGTTTCTAAATTTCCTAGCAAAAGGAACTAGAGAAGCCAGCAGATGTACACTGATGCTCTGAAAGTTCTCCTGAGGTTTATATATTTCACCCAAACAAGGCTGGGAAAGCGGCATAACAGCAATCACGGCTGACGTCCAGATGGGATCTACCATGATATCACAAACAGGACAGACAGCTCAATTATCTTTATCTGTGCTATGGTTTCTATTTTTCTCTTAAACTTGAGAGTTTCATTCACTGAGAATTCCTACACGTTTGGTACTTGACTCAGGTGCGGTCCCTGAGGACTGCACCCTTTGTTACATTTCTATGGCAACCTCTGGATTCTCCTGACACTGCTTCCCATCAGCTCCTGTAATTGTAGATCACTGATCTGGCATTCATTCATTCGTTCCCAGTTTCTAACTTATCTCTTTTGGACAAAGCAAGACTTTATCTGATCCCTTTTTATCAGCATGATACTTGTAAGTCTACCCACAAAGCAACCCCTTAACCATAACTTGTGTCTCAGAAGCAGAGAATGACCGTTTCAAGAAGCCTGGATGGAAAACCCTCTCTAGGGAAAGAAGAGAACAGAGATGCAAGTAGAAACACAAAGGTAATAAAACCGGTGAGCTATTGTCCCTTCTTGCTTTAGCAATGAAAACCAGCTAAAATCTCTGCAAAAGAAAGGGAAAAAGTAAGCAGAGAAGAAATTTCATAGATGTTTCTGCACATTTAGTTCAGAATTTCATAGCCCTTTGGACTGTTCCAACTATAAAGTGAAACCCCCAATTAAAACAAACAAGCAAACAAATGAAACCCTCCATGCCTTTGTGTGAGTAGCTAATACCACGCTGAGTACTACACCTAGTCACAAACCACCAAATCCACACTCTAGGCTTCATGTGGAGTTGCATTAATAGGAATGTACATAATTGCACATCTAACCAGAACAGTGTGAATAAGACGTAACAAAAGGGAGGAATGAGACTTGTATAAAGCCTTAACACTGATGTAATGGGATGTGACCTTGTAACAATCAGGCAACGTAAGGTGTGTCCACCTCTCTGTGGCCAGCAGAAGGTCTTGGTGAGTGAAAGACTTTGCTGCTCCATTTACTACAACTTCTGCTATGGACTTTTGGTGCGGAGTAGTTTCAAACAGCTTTCAGAAGTTATTCAGGAGAAGTAGCTGACCCAGATTGAAGGGGGGTCCCTGCTCCTGAGTCCTGCGATGTTTAAATGCCATCAGTTACAAAATCCACCTGCTCCGTGCATCCAGATGACCCCTCTCACAGTGGTTTTCTCCAGTTTTAAAGAGGTTTTTCAGGAACTGTGTGAAGCTGGAGGAATGTTAGCCCTTTCTGTCATGCAGACTTGTCCATTTTTTTTAATCATCAGCACTAGAAGCCTTTTTTGTGATGGGTATCACTGGCTTTTCAGTCCTCAGCATTCTCAGTATGTAGAAAATGTTGCTATCTAGACATCTTCTGCAATTTGATCTTTCATGACACTCAAAACTAAAGAAATGTAGTCCAGGAAGAAAAGGGAAGCCTATGTGGAAGTATGTCTGTTAAATTATTGCTTGGAAATATCCAACTCAACATGCACAATATTTACCACTGTTAGCAATAAACTCTTCTGACTACAATAATATAACATCTGTTGCTGTTATGCAGTCTCACCCTTTAAATAGGCACAGATGGTCTTCCTATTCCCCGTCTGGTCTAATTCTTTTGCTTTTGAGAAGAAAACACAAACCAGTTTTGTTTGTGACCTATTCTTGTAGGTAAATTCCTCCAGACCGTACACTGGTTAAGAGATCTCATGTGTCCAGTAACACAAGACTTTCAGATATACCACTAGAAAGTGCCTTTATTGCACTTAGAGGTATGGAGAGAG